GTTCACACCACTCCTATCTTAAAATCCAGATTATCCAAAACTATCATTAGGATGTTATAAAGGCACTTTTATTACAGCTGAGAAAGCCTGGATAACACTAAGTCACATGCTGAAAGAATGTGCTTGCTAATGGGTAGAATTTCATGTACTGGTATAGGGAAAGAAGCTACAAACAATCAGTGCAACAGAGAAGTACACTCAGCTTTTATAGTGGTGGTTTCCACGTGAGACCTCACATATTTTAGGCATGGGCAATGCAGCCATTAGTGAGAAACATTTCCTCACGTATGAAAAAAAAATACAGTCACTAGAATTAAAAATAAATTATTTGATAGCTTAGCATGTTTTTGCCTTCAGCCGTTGCATGGTTTGGTTTTTTTTATTACGAACAACCGCAATGCCATAACACACATACCTTTTACTGGCATCATAATCTATGACGACGACTCAAGAAAACAACCTGTACTACCACCAATCCCAAGTGTATTCTGAGCTGTACCCCAAAACCACAAAATAAAAATTATTTTTTTTAATGATACATTTTGGTTCTCTTTATCTAACTGAAAGTTTATGTTCTCATGTTTTCTTTGTCAACCACGTGAGCTGGAAACATTTTTTCCAATAAGGCAAGCTAAGATTTTCACATCACAAAACTCCAGGTAGAAAACGGGACTGAAAGACACTTTCATGAGTTTCCTAACACAAGCCCACGCTATTATATACAACCATGACTAAATTTCTTCACGAAAGGACAAAAATGCTCTAAGAAAGATAAAAACAAAACAAGAAACAAAAACCCCAAACATGGTAAGACATAGTACACAATCCTACAACTCCAAGAGAGAGCAAAGTTGGTATTATATTTGCTTGAGAAATTTTATCTGGGATAGTGAAACCTATTTCACAACTGAAACAGGTTATTACTCAGTCTTATCTTACTTTGTCGCTAAGATATATTATAAAGAAAACAATTTCCAATACACAGCCCTAACTATCATTTTTGAGGTAAACTTTTGTAACCTTCCTAATAATTCCACACAAGGCACTTTGAAATTCCATAGGTTTTCAAAACAAATGTTGTTAAGCTCCACACCTTTCAGTATCTGCTAACACCTTTATTTAGTACAGGTGAAGCATTCAGAGATATTTTTTTCCTATTGTACTGCTGACAGCAATACCACTTATACACAAATATAATATGGATGAAAAAATGAAAACTTCATTTCAGTCTATGGGAACATTATCATTCAGTGGGAGTTTAAATAAAATAAGAGTAAGAATTCTTATGAAACACCAGTGTCTGAAACAGTCCATTTGATCACATAAAGTTGGTAGAGGAAAGGCAATATTTTCACATATTACTCAAAGTGGCTTATAACTGATCTGTGAGACTATCTTTAGGGGTAAATTACCATATCCATGCACCCAGTAACAACCTGTCATATAAGTCTGCAAATCTCTATGCCAATTAATGCCAGTTATCATGGCAATTTTCTGTGCCAGGGCAATTGCCCACTATAAGCTGAACTGAGACCAACTCAATCATCTGTCAGGGATAGGCAAAAATTTATTGCAGAAACGTCGTAATCAAAAAGCAGGACCTAGGCCCACCTCAAGTAAGCAACAATGCTACCATCAAATTTGGTGTTGTTAAACAACTCACTTAGGTCCCCTGTAAGCTGTCACCCAATATTGACTTTTGCCCATTCATACTGGTGATTTACAGATGAAAAGCTCTGTACACTATTCCCACTTCCACAAGTCATCCAACACGTAGTAACAAAGACTAAGGATTTGAGGAAAATGAAAAACTTTGAGGAATGGTAGTCTCTATAAACTTTGAAAAATCACTATGTGACATAATTTATAACAGGTAAATGATGACTATATCTTCAAAGATACAGCCATCTGAACCCTACCTAAAACTACTGTAACTTCCTTAAAACAGTTACTGAGTTTATGTATTAGAATATTCTCACTACTGAATTGCTGACTGCTGTTTGTAAACTACCCACTGTAATCATCACACACAACAGCTAGGGGGGAAAAAATACCTAATCGTTACCTAAACTGAGTTGTTCTTTTGATTTAATATTTTCTAAACTGCTTTTGAAAACAGTTAGATAAGCTGCTCGGCAGTTCATATAAAAGATCGCTTCTTCTGCATGCTGGGACTTCTTTCCTTGGGAACTTTCCAAGCGCATGACTTTCTGAACGGAGGGGGATGCGTTATTCTCAGGACTGCTGGCCATTCTGTGAAGAATACAATTACAGTTAGAATTTGTTACTGTCTTGCCTGTTTAATAACACCTCTGCTTTGTCCTCTGAAACACAGACTAGCACAAATTAATCCTAACATCGGGTCATATGTTTTCCATTCTCAAAATCTCAGTTGGGAAATACTTATCTACGCTTGTAGGTAAGCACCATGAGATCCACAAACAAAGTTTCATTTTATTGTATTTTATTTTAATTTCAGACCATTTGATATGACAATGGTTATATAATCATGTTATTTGAAAGCATAAAAACAAATTTTCAAGTTATCTGTGATACAAACCATTGCTATCCATGTTTAGAAAGAAACCGCTAGGACTTGTCCTTACTACACATTTCCACTAGAATTTCTACTCTTGCCACACTAGCTAAATTCTCCTAATGACAGAAGCAATGGGACAATTTGTACAGAAGCGCACTCGTTGGCTCTGATGAGTTTCCTACCACTGTCTATGCCTAGCATGATTTGTCCAAATGGTAAATTAACGAACATATGATACCTACCACTGTTTTGCTGCCAGTGCCACTCTCATTGTTGCTACAGCTCACCAGCAGTAGCAAAGGTGGAGTTTTTTTAGGAAAAAAATGCCAATTTAAACATGGCCACAGGTGTGAGAGGCACAGAATTATTTAAAAGACTTTTTCACCAAACAACAATAACAAAGTAAATATTATCAAGAATGGATGCAGCACTTATGTCATTGGAGAGAGCTCTGTGGCTGCATGATCACGACTGGCTCATATCATGTTGGATTCTCTATTATATTTCTTGGTGTCAACAGCAGAGTAAAAGCCCCCTTTGTCCTCCAGTGAAAACTACATGTGAGCATGTCTATATTGAACTGCATATTTGTCAGGATTTCCTCCCTCACTCAAAAACTGACTTTTATATTTCCAAGACTGATTTAGCTGGAAAACTGGGCAGAGACACTGTGTAATGTCATAAACACCATATAACACTCAGTGTTAAAAAAGGGATATAATCATTATTAAATTGATTACATGCTTTTTTTCTGGTGCCAACCCATACCAGAATGGGCTTTTGTTTTCTGTTTTTACAGTTATAACTCAATGAAACATACTAATTTGCTAATAGCAAAATTGGTCAAAATTGTAACCCTTAATCCTTCAAGTATGTGAAGTTAAGCACACAATTCTACTTTTAAGAGTTATCTAAATATAATTAATAAACAAGCATGAAGCTAAGATTGTGCGTAAAACTTGGTGCAACTTAGGCCTTTTAAGTATGAGAACACTACCCATGTAATTATAAATGAATGGAAAAAAAGAATACAAAATGCATTTTTTCTAAATTGCTAAAACGATTCAAAGCAGTAACTAATGCTGTTTGCTCACCAGCGGCCAGCAAACTTTAACAGCAGCTTTCTGCTTTTACCAAGGGTGATTAGGGTTTTTAGAAGGCCATCACAGAGGGACACTAAATCGTGTTGTACTGTTGGTCTAACAGCCTCTCATATTATTTTACCCAATGTTGACTTCAGAAAATATATTCTAGTATAATAAATGGAATATCTCAAGTTCAGCAACAAGACAACGACATCATAGGGTCCCCTTCAGGACTCATTGGATTTTTACTCAGGAGGCCTAAATCACTCGCACCTTGTTGAGTTATATAGGTCTTTTACACTTGGGAAAGAAAGATAATAATCGCTTATCATGGATGAAGTACCCTATTTATAATACACAGACCGCCTGCCTGACACTTTAATATTACACTGGCATTAGAAGGACCCCATAGGGACACTGTGATACAGTCTGGTTACTGCAAACGGGTGTCACTATAATTAAGCACCAGTGTTACACACACAAAATGGAAGTGGGTTAAAGTCAAGGAGGAAAAGAAGAATAAATGTTAATTTTCCAGTAACTAGTTTATAAAATGTGAACTCTCGTTTATACTCCTTAGACTTCCCATTACCAAGATATTTCTTACGTGGGCCACAGTTCTGCCGAGAGGTGCTGCCAATACATTGCTCAGAAATCCAGTGAGCAATAGCTTAGTGGCAGCACTGCCAGCAGCCCCATGGCTCAGGTTGTTAAATTTTTACCGGACAAATGACACTTTAGACAAAATAGACAGAAGGGAGCAATCCGGCCTTGGCTGAAGTGGGAGGACAACACAGCCTAACGACTGCTTTCAATTTTAGTTGCTATGATTCTAACAAATAAAAACCATCTTCCAACCAGGAATTAAGTCGTACCCTTCCTGGCAATACCGACCTTTCTCGTCGCGGGTCCGAGACCGAGGTTCACCTCCATTCACAGCAAACACACCGGCGGGGAAACTTCCCGCTGTTTCTTCTTAAGCTTCCGAGCCCAGGCCTCGCTCACCTGAAACGAGGAAACTCTTTTACCACATGAGCCTCACTCCATTGCGCTCCGGTGGGCGCAGGGGTCTTCTTGGGCAAAAATTCACCACCCACCCTCCCATAAAAGACGTTAACAATCCCCTTCCCCCAGCCCCTCAGAGAGGAAGCAACTCTCCCGCCCTGCCCGGCGTCCCCAGCAGCCCTGAGGGACCGGGTTTCGCCACCCACCACCTCCCGCCCAAACCTTCCCCGGGCCCGGCTCCTACCGTTGCGCAGCACCCAGCTCAGCAGACAAACCGACCCCTCTCCTCCCCTCAGGCCTGCCGGGACCGGCCTCGTCCCGCCCTGCCGGGGCCGCCTACCCGCCCTCTCAGCACCGTTTCCAGCCGGCGGCTTTTGGCCGGTGCACGGCGGCGGGAGATCTACAAAGGCGGCGGCGGGAACGGCTGCGGGCGTCCGCGATGTCGTAGGTATCGGGCGGCGGAGCGGAGAAAGTCGGTTCTAGGAGCCGCTTCTCGGCAGCGGGGCAGCCCCTGAGGGCGCGGAGGGGAGCGGGGCGGGCGGCCGAGGGAGCGAGGGCCCGTTGTGGGAACGCCGTGAGGCGGAGCGGTTCTCCTCGGTGGCCTGCGGGCTCCCTATACGGCGGCGAGGTTTTTTCCCTGAGGAGAAATGGGCTCCTCGGGTGATCCCGGAGAGGGGAGGAGCACGCCGTTAGCGTGGGGAAGGGCGGGTTTTGTTTCTAGTTCTGGCTTCCCGTTGTTGGATGCGAGCGGGAAACGTTTAAGATGGTGGCTCCTTGGGGCAGAGCCTTCGTCCTGAGGGATGTCGGGCGGGCGATGCCCACTGGCATGGGTAGTACTTTTTGTATGTTATGTGGCTGTTCCCGGCTTCCATGGTTGCCTCACGCCCCACGGATAAAGCCTTGCGAGGCTGCGTGGTGGGAGGTGGAAGAGGGAGAGGAGCCATGTCACGGGTGGGTTGTGCGGAGTTTGGCACCTGGGTTTAGTGCTGCTGTGGGAAGGTGTTGCAGGCCTGTGGCGGTAAGGTCCATTTTCCATCAGGCTGTGTCTCTTCGTATTGCTCCAGTGGGAATAAATCCTCTTCATGTTCTATTCTTTGCAATTTATTGAGCAGTAGTCATGTCAGTCTGATGCTATTCTTGCGTGTATTTGCTAATTGCGGGCTTCTGAAGAACTGTAAAGAAAACGTGGAGGATGTTGCTAACTTCAGCAGTAAGGTGCAGCCATAAGACTTATGCTGCCTAAATATAAGCTTGGGATACTGTCCCAGTTTACGGCTTCTTATGCGATTTCAAAGATAACTTGTGTTAGAGCTACCATAGGTTCCAACTTCTGCCAGTCTTTCTCCTGACCACTGGTTGAAGTAATCATGCCAGACAGTAGTAATACAAAGGAAACATCAGTCCACAAGCTTTGATTTTTTTTTTTTTGGTGTTTAAGGCTGTTTCTCACTGGTTGCACACGGAGTTTAACTACCATGCAAGCTGAACATAGAAAATGATCATGTATTCTTTCTGCTTTTCCAATTAATAAGACATTTTTGCTACCAGGTTTTGAAGATGAAGCGATATGTAAATAGCATAGAGGTGTTTTCTTTTTTCCCCCAGTGAAAGCAGAAACCTAAGAGGAAGCTAACTGAAATGGCTTCAGAATGCACTACAATACTCTCTACGGTATTTTTAATGAAATAATATAATCAAGTCCCTGATTCTGTATGTTCATTTTTGTGCATTAAATCTGTACGTGACTGTTACCATTGCATTCATTCATAAATGAATAGTGAAGTAAAGTTTAAGTGTATGTGGAATTAAAAACAATATAAAACCCCCATTTCTTTATTGAAAGTTAAATTGCATACCCAGACTTTCACTGTTAAGCCGAGAAGTGGTTTCATCAAAGCACTATTCATGTGAGTAAAGGTCTCCCAGTATTAACAAGGAACTGACAACATGACCTGGAATGATAGATGAACAATATGCTATAGAAGTAATATGTAGTTCTTTAACCTGATAAATATTATGGGCAAAATAATCATTGCAGGTTATACAGCTAGCTATAAACGTGTGCCACCATACTCTGCATAGCTAAGAAAATAAATTAAGCCCTCTCAGGGAATTTTGAACCAATTCAAGGGTAGGAAACTCAGGTAAATAAGTTATTATGTACTGTCATCACATATGCCACATTCTTCTATCGCCTTTTCTTGTTTACACTCTGACATTTGATTCTGCTCCATAGCCACAGCAAGGCTTTTCCAGCCTAAACCAAACTAAAGCTTGTGCACTTCTTCCATGGTGTTTCCTAAAATACTTTAGGAATTTTGTTTGCACCTAGATGCACGTATTGGTTTTTCTCCATGCTCATCTTTTGAAAGATCTGAGAGAAGACACTTTGGCCAACTGGGTCTGCACATTAGATGTCTGGATGAATTTTGTTTCAGTGGCCCTAGCCAGGGACTGTGTGTAGACTAAGAGCACAAATTTTAACTTATTTTGAGTGAATCACAGTTGCCAGAGATTTACTTTCTCATATTGTGGCATGGGAAAGACAATCACTAAAAACAACTCCACAAGCACACCAGGTTGCTGGGTAGGATGGATTGGGAAAAGTGAAGCAAAGTTGAGCTCCTGAAGCCAAAATTGTATCCATGCAGCTCCTTCCAACGTTGAAGTGCTTGCCTGGAATGAGGCTGCCTCTTCACTGCCGTAGCTCAGGGTGTTTGCAGGGGTTTTGCAGGCCAGTAGAGAGAAATTTGGGCTGTCTGCAGCTCTGTTGCTGTACACAGTACTTGACAGGCTTTAAAGAACATAGTCTTGACCAGTCCACAATTTTCTCTCTAAGAAATTTTCTAATTGTTTATGATTCAGTGGGATTTTCATGTAGTTTCTTATTTATCTTCATCCTACAGCTATGTTGAGTCCAGATTCTGCTTTACTTTGGCTTCCAGCTTCTTTTGAAGTCCATCATAAAAACTTCCATCATAACATGCCTTAGTATAACATGCAAATGCATTGGCCCCTAGAGCATCCTTTCAGAGTAGATGTATTAATAAATATAATGTTTCTTTGCTGCCACTGGGGTGGAAGATGTAATGGAGTCTGCATTCCTTAAGCAATATGGGTTTCTATTTAAAAAAGAAATACATTGTAAAGAATTCCATCAAACTGTTACAGCTTTGACTGCCCCTTGGCAAGAAGTTCACACGCTTTTTTAATTTAAATGTTACCTGTTTACTTGGCTTTTTTAAGATAGGATACTTCTCTTCCCCTTTTTGTAAAAGAGATAGTTGTAAAACAGTACTCATATAAGACTGTTGCCTGAGATATATTTTAAAGAGGTGTTTTCGTTCTATTTTTCCAATACTTTAATTTACAGTTTTGGAATAGTAACAAAAATTTTAAAAGGGTATGTTTGGAATGTGGTCATCTTAATTGCTTACAAGTCAAAACACTCTCTTCCAAGATGAAAACTGTGAACTAAATTCTTGAAATATGATGTATTTTCTAAATCTTGTTTAATTTGATATAACATTTATGTTTCTTGGGGACTGTTCTTATAAAATGATTTTAATTTTTTTTCCTCATTTTTTTTATATAATGCTTTAAACTATTGTTAAGATTTAGGAATGTGCTTTAAAAGTTTCAATTGTCTGTGGGAAAAATAGTCTTAATTTATGTTGACCTTTCTTTCCTTTGAGCATTTAGTCTGCATTCAATAAAATTTTGATGACTGCTCTTTAGAAGACAGCTGTACGATATAAAGTATTATAAATATTCAGCTTTCCTCTTCTAGTGTTGCCATTAACAGCTGGGCATCCAGTTCAGCAGAGCAGATTTTTCAGAGAGAGCTTGGCATGTTCCTGAATCAGTATAGTGAAGAAGACTAGAAAATAGTTTCTTATGGTTTGGGGACCTGTAAAGACATAGAGCATCTGTTCCCCAGTTAAGTCATAGTCTGGTAGCACTGAATCATGTTAAGAGCTAAAATGATGGGAAGAACTACTTTTTTCACCTTGGCTGTACCTGTGTTTTAAATGCCTAATACATTATTTCTACTAATGGCTAAATAATTTCAACCCTTGCTCAGAAGGTATGTAAATGATAATGCTTTTGCATTTTTTCAGTGTTTATGGTCTTTGAGAAAGAGACAAATATACAGTGCAATTTCACTTCAGTGTCTTGATTTTTATCTCTAGTATAAAATGGAGAATTGGATTTTCTTATGCAAACACTTTGTCCTTCTAAATAAGCAACGTTTTTGTTACACAGTATTTTAATCAGTTAATGTATTTGCTTTGGATGAGATTAGTTTTCTTGCGTAGTGTAAAAAATGTGAAACAAGAGAAAGGAAAATGTCTCTAAAATTACAGGTTATAGACCTTACTACCAGAAATCTTTGTGTCTAATGACCATGAAACTTGTCCATATTTTTCTCTTGCAGAGTTAAGAGAGCATTAAAGTTGGACACTGTTAAAAAAGATAACGTAAGTGTTTTTTGGTGTATGGAATCATCTGGGCTGTATATATATGTATGTGTATATATATCTGTATATGCACACATATGTGTATATAAACATATTTCATTAGAGTTGTATTTATATTGTTACAGATTGGATGTTGTCTAGAAAAATCTTAACGAGGCAAAAAATTACTGCTGAAAGTATTAGTAAAAAATTTATTGTATTCCATTTGTCATAGAACTGCCTGGCTTTAAGTAATGTACATCTGCATGAATCACTTGAAAATAATAGAGAAATATGCATATTTTAATTGCCATCACTATTTACCCAAGAGCTGAATGAGTTAAGATCCTTGGTGAAATCATTTATTAGAAATTAGCTCCATTATCCTGGAAGCAAATGTTCTGCCATGTAATTGTACATGTAACAATATGGAATTATGATAATGCTATAATCTGCATATTATAAACTGCAAAATTGAAATGAAAACATTAAAGGCATTTTCATGTCAAGGATATAATTACCTCCCTCAGCTAATCTGGCATAATGAAACAATAAAGTACTAACACTGCAATAAATTTCACCACAGTTATCACAATAAAAATAAAATTGTACTGTTGCTATTATTTTTTGTAAATGCAGCTATAGTATACTCCCAGTACCAGCATGTCATGACATATGTCAGTTTATTATCTGCTCCTACCAACAGTGGGTGTTGCTGCAGACATTAATACAGAGGAGCTTGTGAGGACGGCAGTGTTTAAAAGAAGGAAAATTTTGGAAAAGTACATACAGAGAAATAGCTGGTCAGCAAACAAGCTCCCAATAAATCTCCATGTCTGTGTCATTTTGAAGAGATTTGTTTACATGCAGCACATACTTGGAGGTCTCACTGGTATTTAGCAAGATAGAAATTTGCAATTTTAAAAATTTTCTAGATACTTTTTTTTCTTAATTTAAACAAAGGTGGCAAAATACCGCAGTGGCACTAAAAAAAATCATTAGCAATTTAATTAGCAGCTTAGTGTACCATTACCCAACTTGTTCTGCTCAGAATGCAGCTGTGACTGTAATTTTGCATCTGTTTCTTGGGCTGTAGTAACGTTTTTGTAGATGAGTGGTCCAGCTGAAATTACATGGAATCCTTTTTCTGTCTTAGAGCTATTCCTTCCCTGCCCCCTCCCCATAAGATAAAAAGAAAGAGTTACTTGATGGTTACCTGCGTGCAGGTTCTTGTGCAGCAAAAAGCTTAACAAAAGCCCATGTGAATGATAAAAACTTTTACTGGAATATCAGTAATGTAAGTTTACACTATGATTTTTAGGTCATATGGTGCCTCTAACAGATAGATACATGTCAAAGATTTAAAGTGTACCATAATTAAATAACATTATAGAAGGTAGGAAGGAATGTAAGGTAATAAATACACATGGTTTGCATGAAGTATCTGTTTTAGCTCTGCTGCATCCATTGCTGTTTTCTACAATTTCTTTCCTGTTATTCAGGATGCCCTCGTTCCACCTGCTGGTCAGACTACCCAAAGCGTGCCTGAACTAACCAGATCAGAAATAAATATTTTTAGATTTTGTAATGTTAGTATGGTATAATTTAAAAATTGTGTAACTGGACTAAGACTCTTCTTCCTGGAAGAGAAATTGTTACTGCCAAATACTGTCTTTTGAAGTACTACAGTAACTTTTTTTAGGTAGCTGCTCAAAGGAGTCTCAGCTCATATCCAGAAATATGGTGGTTGAGCAGACTGCTGCTGAAGCAGGAAAAATATCCTGAAAGCGTAAGCAGATTGAAGACTCACCCTGTTACAAAAGAGATTTGATGACATTTAAATGCCTAAAGTGGCATTGCTACTTTACAGTAATTAATATTTCATTTGAAGATGATTTAAAACATTTCTTTAACCTGCTTGAATGTGGCAAAATATTAGTGACAACAGACCGAAGATTTCCACCAGGTATTGTTTAAATACAGATAGACTGCAAAAAGAGTATATATGGCTGATGCGAAATTATTTAGGGGTATTCAAGACTAAAGCAAGACAGAGTAACATCCAGGAGCTATAAGAAAAGTAGGTAAGAGGGCAGCAAATTAAATCTTTTGAAATACCATGTAAGTCATATTACTGATGAACAATACTAACACTGTTAGGTTCTAAATTAAGGGTTAGCACTCAAGGCAGAGTAGGAGAAGAAAAACATCAAAACTGCAGCTTTTTGTAGAAGTACAGTAAGATACATCAGAAATAGAATAGCAAGTAGCACTGGAAGTATAATGCCATTGCATAAATCAGTATTTTGTCTTCACCTGAATTAGAATTGAAGGTACTGTCACTCTGTTTTAAAGTATAATTGCAGAAATTATACTTTGAACCTGTATCATTCTGTGGAAGAAAATAAGTGTGAACATAGGCTGTGGTACAAGTGGCACAAGAAATGCCTTCAAATGAAGACGATTAAAAAGATCAGGATATTTTAATAGGAGTTCAGTAGTGAAGAGCAGGAAAGGGGTATAAGAATATGCTGTATTCTTTTTAGAGGAGATATTGAACATTCTTTATACTTTTATATAACCAAGAGGAATTTAGTAGTATTGCAGTGTGGAAAACTGAAAGCCAATAATGGAGACTTACCTTTTATACAACACATTAACTTCTAGAACTCATCCTAAAATTTTGGTGAAGTCAAGAACATAGTAGAAGCTGTAATAAAAACAGTCATTCATACAGATAACAAGAGTATGCATATCCATGTAGGTGTGAAAAATAGGAGTATTGTGCTTCAGGACATTTACATCAACTGCTAACTGTCTGCAATTGAGAAGAAAACTTCCGAGGGTTACATAATTGTCCATTTACTTCTAGGTACAGCTTGTAGTCCTAGTTTTATATTTATGGCCTCTATAAATGTATACTTTTTAGAAGAAGTTTCCTTATAACTCCTCAACAATTTAAGATTAATTATATAAACATTCATGTTTTCTATCATTAATTTACTCAGTAATGAAATGTAACATTTTCCCAGGTCCCAGATTCCTGCTGGATTGTAGAGGCTTTGTCACCTTTGTATATGTAGCTTTGTGATCTGATAGGACTTGCATCCTGATATGACTTGTGGCTTTCACACATGTTACCTGGTGAACCTGATTATTGGCCTTAAAAATACCACTTTTGCCACCTGTACACACCTTTTGAGATCTAAAATTGCTGTAGTTAAATTTTCCAAGGGAAATTTGTGAGACCTTAAACCTATGAGGTTCTGGCTTTCTCAGAGTTGTCCTTCCATTCTGTACCATGCTCTGGACTCAGACTGCCTTTGCTCTCAACCATGTCCCCAGCAGACCCTTTTCCCAGAGCACGCAGGAGATTCCCGTGCTAAGGAATCCTTACTGGACTTGAAGATTTGTATGCCCTTTGTTTAATCTGGTTTGAAAAACAGTAGTGTGAGGGTCTTATTCCAGCAAAACAGGACAACATATGATTAAGTATGAAAAGGGAGTAAATGAGTTATTAATTTGAAATTGCTGTGGAAATGTCAGTTACCAAAGTGCAAATATCAGGTTGTCTGACTTGTTTTTTTGTTTGGTTTGGTTTGGTTTTTTCCCAACTTGGCTTATGTACTGTGCATTCTTTAATGACCATAAGCCCCAGATCCTCGCCTATTTCATTCATGGTATTGAAAGAGTGCAGTATGCTTACCTATTATACTTTTTCTAACATTAATAAATGGAACTTAAAGAGATTACAGAATAATCATGTACAATAAAACTTCCAATGAAAAAATACTGTATGAAATTGAGTGACTGTTTTGAGTGACATGAAGAAAAATGATAGTTTTACAGATGGAATGAGAGTTAAGTTGGTAGAAAAGGCTGGTTGTTTGGAAGTGGATGAGTCATTCCTTTGCTTGATACAGTTGCAAAAGTAGAAATAAATTAATTTGCTCCTCAAATTCAAAGCCCCAAGATTGTAACAAAGTAAAAAAAAATCAAGAAATCTCTTACTCTGTTTTTCTGTGGTATTGGCTTTAATGATACTATGTTTCCATGAGGAAAATAAACATTAAACCGTAGGAAAAAAAGTGTCTGTTTCACTGCGTTTAGACAGCCCTTCTTTAAGCCCTTGAGAAAATTTTGAAAGGGACTGGAAAAAGTGGTTTTGCCCAAAATGTCCCTTTAATCTTTGTGTGACAGATGTTAATACAGTGAAATCAGTTGTGCATTCACTACTTGCATTCTCCTCTTTAGAGGTGGCTAGTCTTTTTTGGAAGCAGTAGTTTACATGCCTGCTGACTTTTTCTCCTTGAAATGAGAGGTGGGTAAGAATGAGAAAGCTGCCCTTCTGAAGCTGTGTTTTCCAGCTTGCTACATGGTGTACCTTCCAGCTCTTTTGTTTAATTATTGGATCAGCTGGTTACACAGCAGTGAAGTACTGTAGGTCTGGTAAGCATGCGTATTGGATAATACTTCAAGTTCAGCTACCTGGAAAATCCTGTAGCCACTTGATCAGTGGTTTCTAAGAGTATAAGATGACATTAAGATGCTGCTGATGGCAGCGGAGTTGTCTTTAAGTGCTACATGTGTTCTATTCTGTGTACGTCTCCTTTTTGACAGAGTCATTGATGGCATTATTTAAATCTGCTAGACTTCTTAGTTGGAATCAAGTTGTTACTAGAGCTGAAGCCCTTTATGTGCAAACAAAGTGTGGTTTTGGTTTGGGGTTTTTCTTCTGTAGATAAATAGTGCAGTGAAATCCCAGTTTCTCAGAGTTGCAATTCAGCATCCAATCTAGAGAGTGAACTGTGTCCCAGATAATCCCAGTTAATGTTTCAGAACTGCAGACTAGTTCTTCTGAAAACTTCTCTGCACAATTCCTTTAACATCATTAAATAACTCCTTTTATGTAATTAGACATATTGAAATCCTAAGCCAGAGACAAAATTTTGGATTTAAGAGACTCACTTGGTTTTTTTTAATTAACACTTGTTTAGAAAATCATTAGAAATAACTCTTTTCATTCTTATCATTCATATGTCTTAAATTCCCAATACTGTAGGAAAAATAATAACAGGTTTTGACTGCTTTTAAAAAAAACAAACAAACAAAGCCCCAGGTGTTCATGCCAGAATACCTAAATCTCTGGAATCCACATACTTTTTGTTTATGAAAACTGGGAGGCTAGTGTTTGAAGGGCTTTTTATTTTTTTGAGTAGAACTAATGTTAATGAGGAGGGGGAGTGACAGAGCAGCTTAGTGGGCACCTGGCAACCAGTGATGGTCAACCTACCACAACACATAACATGGGCTTTCCATAAGTGGGAGGACATAAAGTTAGGAATTGCTTAGAAAAATCTATTACCAGATAGTAAATGTTCAGAGAGGCTTTGTTTGGTTTGGGGTGCAATATGTGACTCTACTGATAGGAAAGATAGAGGTCAGAATGTATTTAGTATGCAGAAGGAAGTTTACAACTGTTGTAGGTTTAGATGGACATAGGTACTTCTTTGTCTTTAGCCAATATTCATCTAGATTGTTTGTCTTTTGCTACATTTCAGCTATCTGATGCAACACCTTTGACGACCAAAAAGCAAAATCTAAACTCTTACTCGCCGACAACAGGAACACGCCAAATGAGTCCATCTTCATCTCCCATGACTCATAATGCACAAAATCTCAGAAATCGCCCATCAAATGGTTAGTTGAACATTCTGTCTTTCTTACTGCAACATTTTTCTGGTTATTGGCTTGATTTAGTAACTTATGTCTCATGTAGTATGTTTGATTTCTTTTTCCTCTTATAGAATTTTAATCTCTTTTGGAAAAGCTGGTGGTGATTTTTAAAGCTTGAATCTTTTTGGTATAAATCTTGGGGGTATTTATGAAACAACTTGTTTTTGAAACAAGTTTTGCTTTCTGTTGATCAATATTAAAAATGTTTGGCTTTGGCTCAGCAAAAAAAACCCTGCACTGGCATTTTTGTCAATCATTCCATTAATTCCACTGCTTAGGCATGTTCATGCTAACAATGTCCTTTGTTTGCTTTCTTTCTAAGTTCCAACTTTCATTGGCAGAACTGGTATGTGCTACTGACAGTGACTTTGTTCTTTGGATTATACAGGGAGATGTTCTGAGGTTGCTGTGTGCTACTTCAGATTATTGCAAGGAAGTCCTGGTTTACTCTTGCAAGGCAGTGCAATTCATTGTTTATAATACACAGCTGAGGTCTGGACTCTCTCATGGTCAGGAGAGCTGGAAAGAAAAGATGTGTGTAGTTGAACCATGTTTAATTTTGTGGCCTTTTGAGAACTACATTGAGATTTGCAATGCAAGTCCTAGTTTATGTACTTCCAGGTTTCCAGTGGTAAATGCTTGCATGTGTGCATGCATACATACGTATAGCACTTCCCAGCTCTGGGTCTTTCTCTATGAATATTGAAAGTTAGGTAGATTTTATCAAATCAGAGCTAAAAGGGAAGTTAGGGTAGTTTAACTCTTCTGCTTTGCATTCTTTTATGTAATTTTTTACTGTTATTTTCCATAGTAAGGCACTTCAAGGCAATTTTTAATTAATCTAACATAACACTGAATGTCATTAGCTCTCAGAAAATATGCCTTTTTATAGTTATATTATTTCCAGTTCACTTTAGGATATCCGTCCACTTAGTTACAGTCACAGTTTTTGATGCAAACTATGACTGCTCAAGATGTATATTTTCAGTAGACTAACCTGCTTTTATGGCTGTATAGATTGTGGTCTTTTTAAGTGTTAAGGAACTATTAGGTTACCTGGTGTGACCTTTTTATATTAAAAAAATACAAAGAGACTTTCTTGTCATCTTTCCCATGTAGAGCCAAAGAGCTTTTATTTCCTTGCAGTACAACTCCTAGAAAGATGGTTAAGTCTTGATTTGAAGACTTCAAAGTATTTATAAAAAAAAAAAAATAATAATAATAAAACTCCATCACTTCTCTTGTTAGGAAGTTCCTTGTTCAATTACATTTTCTATTAAAAAAAAATTTCTCCTGTCTGATTTTGAATTTGTCTGGCTTTAATTTTCAGCCATCAGTTCTTGTTATGCCTTTTTGTTGGGTTAAAGAGCTTTTTATGCCCCATATATTTTGGAATTTATGTGCAGTAATTGAGGCCTCACTAACATTCATGAATTATGATGAGTAGAAATATTCTGAGCAGGATAGAATAACCACTGTTTGAAATTTATCTAGATGTCTGCAGATTTTTGCACTAGCTATTGTACCATATGCTCTCATGATGGATCTGCAAAAGTGGATTTTTCCTCTAGGAAAAAAGGGATTTTTATTTTTTTTTAAAGGAACAGGATCAGGAAATTTTGGGATTCTGTCAAGGCTGGCTGACCAAAAAATGAAAATTACTCGAAGCCTTCAAGCTGAAAATACTACAATCTGTGACCATTACATCCCTTTTCCTTACTAAAAATAGCAGAGTACTTGAGGAAGCATGGAAGTATCGGGTGTTTTAGTGGCAGTATAGCTGCACATAGTTACAGGCCTGTGTGTGAAGATTTTGGGTTGGTTTTTTTTTTTTTCCTAATTAGTAGTCTTGCTAGGAAACTAAACAGAAGCAGCTATATCCTAATTCTTTATCATGCTGCCAGTCTTCATTATGACCTGGCTTTGTGTCCTCGTTACCTGTTTGTCAAACAGTTTTAACACAGTCGAGTTTTCATGAGCACTCGCTGCCAGTCAGAATATTCACAACTTTCCTACCAAGTACTCTGCTGATTCCAGTTGTCCCCAGAATAGCTGCTGTTCTCTGCCAGTGCTATGGTTTCAAATTGGGCATTTGCCCCTGGAACTAATACTAAAATTACTGTTTCAACCACTGACATTCCAATAAGCCTTTGGAGGAAGAATTATACTAATTTCTCCCCATTCTTTCAGTGAATGATAGCATGTCTCAACTAGTTGTGCAAACCTGGTATATTGAGAGGACCTGTATTTTAGAACATCCTTGCCTTCACAAAATGTAAGATATAAGCATTTGATGCATGTTTAATTTTGTGGCCTTTTGAGAACTATGTTGAGATTTGCAATGGAAGGCCTGGTTTATGTACTTCCTGGTTTGGGATGGAGGGAGTAAGCCTGTGTCTGTCAGAAAGTAAGGATCTTTGCCACAGTGCCTACCCTGTCTTGTGAACAATTCCTCCTCTCAAAACTAATGGTTTCTTCTTGATTCCTAAAAAGATGGTTATTTGGCACGGTGCATATCTCCACACTCCCACTTACTTCACATCCAGAAATCTTTAGTGGCATTTAATCAGCCCTTTAAAGTATTGACCCCTGCATTCTTAAAAGACTCTAAACATTTTCCCTTTGGGATTGTTTTCCTCTTCGACAAAGTTTCTTAAAGCGTTGTCTTAAGTATTCCCACAGATATCCCTGGTTATGTGTTGAATTTTTTCCTTGGAGTTTAAACCAAGTTAGATAGCGATCTAACTCCACTGTTTCCAACTTTCTTCTCATTGTGAAAAGTAACTCTTGCAGTGAGCAGCGTTCTGACTTAGTTTGTTAGGGAACTTAATGTCTTCGACACGTAAATTTATCTACTCTATTTTTCTACAGAGAGGAAGGTATTTTCAAGGTATTCCCAGGTCAGATTTCTATGGCAGTCTCCGCTTTCATCAGTAAGAAGGAAATTTTGTGTTTGCATGTATTAACTCCTACACTAGTCTCAGGATTCGATGGTACTTCCTGGATGAAAAGGAGACCCTATGTGTCTTTTTTTTTTTTTTTTTTTCCCTCCTCATTCTAAATAGGAGTTTCTTCATCCTGTACAAAGAAACCTTTCAATAAGAATAGTTGCCAATAGGTGTTCTCTCTGCCAGATCAGAGATACGGCTATAGTTAGTGCAATCAATTGGTATAACTGTACTGGCATCTGTCATGTCATGGAAAGGTCAGCTCATCCCATACTTCAATTAATTGTTTTGTCATGATGTGGCATCCTACATTCTCACCCAGAATGGAGCAATAAGTACTCAGATTCAAGCAAAGTAACTGCATGTTATACCTAGCCGCTGATGATTGCTGAATTAAGGCTGCCTGTATCCTGAGGGAAGAATCGGGTTAGAACAATCTGTGTCCCCATTGACTACAGTCTGAGGCACTGGGAGCAGTAAGCTTTCTGTTAGTGTTGCCACGTCACAGAAGCAGTTCTGAATAAAAACTTATACTTTTTTATGTATAAATGCAGATTTTAATTTTGTGCCTGTCTGCAGAATATGAAACTATACCTCAGCCTGGCTGGATATCCACCTGCACTTTAACATTTACCTTTGCAAAAAGCTTTTAAAATTGTATGTAATGATAGCATTCAGATACAAAATTGAAAATGCTGAGGCTCTTTAGATATGTTCTCTTGAATATCCCTACATATTTGTAATTACCTGCTTTAATGACCTCTTTTCTTTAGTTTTAGTTGATGCCTTTTTGGTGACACAACACACGGTAATACACAAACGTTTAAATCTACTTCAAGTTTTAAAATTTTCTCAGCATCTCTGCATTTACATTACATGTCTTATCTCTTAGGTGAAAGAAAAAAGGGGGCAAAATGTCTTGTATTAAAATGCCTGTATATTAGGATGTCAATGGGAAAGGTGAACATGCAGTGTATTTCCATACTGATATTAAGTATAGACATAGGGGAACATTCTTTTTGCCTATAAAAAGACTGATCACATGATCATAGCTGACATTTAGATGGGTAATTATTCAGTAATGTAGTACTAGCCATCTTTTTTTTTCCCTGTGTTCATATAGCTACCAAGACGGTGGTATATAAAACTTCCTCTTATATCACAGGTTTCAAGTTGTCCTTTTAAACCCACAATTTCTTTTCTGCTTCTGAAAAGACACTTTTATTTTAACTGCTGTAGTGTTTTAATAGATTACACATATCACCTCTAAGTCAGGTGTTAGAGTATAATCTGTGTTCTGTTTTTCTGTGACCAATATGTAAGAAAAAAACAGAGTGAAAATTATTACAAAATTAATGCCATTTGCTATGAAAACATATTTTGCATTGTGCGAAGTACACAAAGTAGCATGCATCTATCTCACTGAGGAGACAGATGGAACTTATTTGTCTTAGGAACATGACTTTCTTTTGAATAACAGTATGGAGGAGTGCCTCAAAAAAGACTAAATACCTATGGAATGCTAAGATTGTTCAAAAGATTTACTTTAGGAGAAAACATGAACCAATCCACTTATAAGATATCACATCTTTATGATGTTGTCCTATGTATGTCTTATTGGGCTACCTGATAATTCATATATTGCCTAACTACCCAAAATCTCACAACCCATTTATGACGTAATTTTCTAAAATAACAGAATACTAAATCTTCACTAGATTCTCATTATTGTTGGCTAACATATTTTAAGATTTATTTTAAATCATTTTATTTTTATTCAAATCAGTCCAGGGTTCCACTATTCTGTAGTACTGGTCTAAAAGTAGTATCTGTTTGATAACTGATGACTGATTTAAGTGCAAGTTCTATGCGTACTTAGATTTAAAATGAAATCTTTTGGGTTCTTAACCTTTAGCTACTGTGGTGGAACAGCTTAAACTTTTATAGCACCTTGTCATTCTGAGGTATTTCTAAATGCTTTACAAAATATTAAAATTAAAAGTTAATTTATCCTTGAATGCTCATACTTGTATGTAATAATTTAGGTCTAGCAAGAAGAAATCTAAGAATCTAATGCTTATTGTGGCCTCTCGTTTTTAGTCTGATGTCAGAAAGGAGACATATTACAGTGAAACATGAAAAGCACCTCATTCCAGAGGGTCTGTTCTAGGATCAATGCATTTGTTAAGGCCACAGTAAAGACCTGTTGGTAATTTCCTCCAAATCTTTCACTTAAAGGTGAATTTCACCTTACAAAAACAGCTGTTAGATATGAAGCATTTGTAAGAATGTATATGTATCAGTTGAAGGGACAGTAGATAAGAACAAATTTAAAACACCTTGTGAACTTCTTTGGCACCAGAAAAAAAAAAGATCTTTCTTGGGTATTGGATAGATGAGTATAGTCTGAATGGCAACAAGTACAGTGAACTCTAAAGCTGAATTACTGGTATGCAATTCTAAGTCAGTAATTGTCGAATGCACTAATGATCTCATTGTTTAAGGGGAAAACTTAACCAGAAAAAAAAGAATGAATACATGATTATACCTCTCCCGCTTCATATGTATGCATACACCTCCACCATTTTGTCTTTAATGAGTATCAGATCCAAAAGAAATCCATTGCACAGGAAAATAGAACTGTGTCCAAAAAAGGGAGCTTTTACACTGCGGTAGAGTGTGAGGCACTGAGTATGTAACTGATACTGTTGAGGGGGGAGATTCTTAAGGTGGAAGTTATAAAAACATCCATGTTATATGATGTCTTCAGCTTCAGCCACAATTAAACAGAAAGCATTTCTGCTATTCAGATGTGACCTCTTTATTGCTGGAACCTAGACAGATATAACATCTAAAGTGTTGAGAGGTGACCACATAGATTGCATGGAGCACAATACCATGAATAGTTACGGCCTCGCTAGTTTCAGTAGATTCACCAAAGACTATTGTACCGTGGGATCTTATCAAATGTGACAGTATATACTATTTTTTAAATATTAGTTAGGAGGGATGTAGTACTTTTTTCTGCTAGTACATCACTGTCCTGATGTGCTAATTGGAGGGCAAGCAGAATTGACAAGCTAATGTACTGACTAAAACCAATAGTAATTGATACACAGGGTGAGATTTTAATCTACATTGGTTCTAATATGATTTCTGTCTGAATTGTATAGGTTGTGATAAGTTGTGTAAATAGATGTAAATACAGAAAGTCTTTTGTGGTCAGAGGTGTATTATTATACATAACGATATACATAATGAGGCCTTTGTAAGTATCTGTTGAACAGTCTCAAGTAGATTGCAGCCAGTGAGCCAAAGATGTTATATCAGTGCAGCACTAACTTTCTTAATCTGATCAGCATCACTGAAAACATTCCCCTCTCCAGGTGCTTTGCAGGGGGGCAGTCTGTGTTAGATGCTTATCTTGGAATCTGATAATTTCTGAATGCCCAACCTACAGTGACAGAAAGGCAGTTCACCAACACCACACGTGAGCCTAGGTTTTATTAAAAAATCCATAGGAATGGAGTTTTGTGGTAATAGCCTGTTCCTGTTTCCTCACAGAAACATGCAACTGCTCAAAATATCAGTGCACTGAAATGTAGAAATATGACTCACCATGCAGAATAATGGCAACTGGCATATGATTTATCATGCCCCATCATATGACGAGCTAGAATATTATATTGTCAATATAGCATGTCAGAGCCTTTGGAAGTAATTTGCAGTATCTCTTTGTAGTTGTTTACAAGGTAGAGTTGGGGCCCAGGCACTTTTTATTAAAGGAAAATGGAGGTTTCATTGCTCAGTCATTACAATATTTTCATGATGATGCTCTGGCCTAATATGCTGTATTTAGGCAGTTAATAAGATAAAAAGCTTCGGAGTAGAATCCAGTAGCTACGTGTCAGAATTATACTAACTTCCAGTTATTAACACTATAATCCCAAGGTTTCCAGAAATACAAATGTAATGTGAATTGATGAGAGGTCAAATTACAAAAGAGTAATTTATAGCGAACTTAGTGTGTTTCATTACAAGGGAATCTGTCCTGCTCTGTAAGTGAATTTTGTTTTTTTTTTCCTAAAAGACCATTCAACAGTCAAGGTTCATACTAACACCTTTTTCATGTGCTTCAAATACTCGATATCTTATTTTCATCTTTATTGTTTCTTTTCTTTCTTGTGAACCCCCTAGGAGAAGGAACTGAGCAGAACGATTCAAGCAGCAGATTATCCAGAAGAGGGCAGCCTCAAACAGAGGAGGATGCGTAAGTGTATTAAGCGCGTTGTGGGTGTAGCGCTGTGATTTTTTTACTTATGCAAGATTAATATTTCATACAGAATTAAATTATATAGCGATTATTTTTTAATACTTATAATTCCACAGGACTGGATATTCAAAGGCACTGAATGGCAGGCTTACCGTTATAGGTACAGATTAATGCAGGGTTTGCAATACAACTGTCCAGCCAGTTCTATCTTTCACTGGTAGTGTTGGGAATATGAGACTGCCAATTACTGGAGTCATGCTCATAGTACTACGCAATGAGGTATCATAAACTACTGAAAGGAAGGTATGTTTTTCATTTCCAGCCTCTTCTGAAAGTGTACATTCTTTACCTTATTTTTTGAAGCATTAACTGCCAAAGATACAGGGCCAGTAATGCAGGACACTTATTGATTAAAAACTAGTCACGGATGGTCATGGTGAAACTTCATGGGTGCTTTGCAAAATCTTTTAAAATTCTTGTCTTTTCTGCCACAATCTTATTTTAAGCTATAAGCTTCCTGGCATTAATGGACTTAGGGCAGGCCACAGTTAGTAAAGCACTTAAATTAATGTTTCAGGTGAAGTATCTGATAAACTGCTTTCCTAAACTTGATAGATGTTGAGGAAGGAGAAGTGATAAAATGTGTTAGAAGTAAGACTGCTAGTGTCTCATGTAGTTAGTATGGCTTAATCTTTTCTGTTATGAAAAACATATTTAATTGTCTGCAACATTGCCAAATCTCAGCTGAAAAGTGAACTGAAATTTTCTGTGCCAACAGTGAGGTGTCAGGCTAAATGTGTTATGCATTTCAGCCAAAACAAACACATCCATCCCTAAGAGTGAGAGAAAGGAAATATTTGTTTCATCTATGATAGAATCTGGTGAAAAAGTGGAAAGCTGTGAACCTCTGTATGTTGGATTGTATCAGGGATGCCTTTCATCTTTATGGGAAGTTACCCAATTAGGAAATCCTGGAAGTTACGAGTTTTTTTAATATGGAAGTTGTATATGCTCTGTAAAACTACTTAAGAGTTTAAGCGTTCATCTAGCTAAAAATCTGAATGTTTCCATGAGCATGTTCATATTTCTTGCTACTAATCCTAGATAGTCCTCCATCCATTTCCATCCTTTTTACTCAAATGAAATTGCATTCACCAGAGAATTGTGATCTCTTACTAGCAAAATTAAAAAAAAAAAAATTCTTTATTCTCATTCTTCTTCAACACTGTCCACATTTTTGTTCTTGAAATCTTAATATACTGTTGTGTTGTCCTGCTTTTTTATTTGATGCTTCAACTTGTCCTGTGGTGGAATCTTGACATATATCTTTGACATCTATCCAAGAAAGTCTAATTCACAGCTCAGCATCAACATGGCTATATCACATCTCTTCTTCTCTCCTCTACAACATTATATATTTTTATACCATTCTGTGTAATGTGACTGTCCTGTATTTCATTCAGGCCCAGTTCCTGTGCATCCAATTCAGATTGTTATATAAATTCTCCTGTCTGTAGGTCAGGCACACTTTCTTTCCAAAATCTGAAGTGTGTTTCCTGTTACCCCAGTTTTGTCACTAAGAGCTCACCTCTCAGTGTAATGCAAACCTCCATTGCTCGCATAGTCCTTTGTTGGTCAGCTTCTTTGTACTTCCCTTGTGTTCCTGCTTCTGACAACAGGTCATACTGTAAGTCCTGTTGATATTGAAGGCAGAGCGCAGCTGCTGTGCTGCAGCTTGTGTTACTGGAAGAAGTATCACCATGCTAGTGTGCAGTATTTGTGCAGGCTAGTTAACCGACATTAAAGAGTTCGGGTTTTGTACTGTAGTGGGTTTCTTTCATCATATGCTTAAGTATATGTTGATGCTGTTATCCCTCTTCTGTATTCTGTTGTATGCATTAAATATTTGTATCACAGTTGTACCTGGTGTCCCAGATGAAAATTCCCTTGGGGCTAGATATTTTATGCATACATTTCTTTCTTACTAACAAATAATATTTGTGACATTTATTCAACTAAATATTATGTTTCTTATGTTTGAAGTTGTAGCTCTTCCTTTTGATTATTGCACTTGAGCTCTCAATGTGTTTGTTGGGTTCTTTTCTTGTAATGGATGCTTTCTCCCACCATTAGCTTAAATTTCTTTGTTGTAGGACAGTATCTTCTAAGTGATGGAGCTTGACAGATAGTAGAATTGTTTGGATGGCATGTTAGATAGTAAAAAATAAAATCTTACAGTTATACCAGTGGAAAGCTGTAAACTGATTAATTGGGATTTTTTGTGGTTCAGTAAATCCCTTGGTCAACAAATATAGACTTGTTTCTTAGTGGCAGTAACCCTGAATTGCAGAACAATTTGAGTAATCATAGTCTTCATTGACATGTAAATGTATGCATTCAATAATTCAGTATGTTTTTTAAAAATTGCAAGATTTGCAGAAGACTAGCAGTTAGCAACATGCCAGTAAAACACATTTATAAACTAACACCTACACGGTAATATTTATGTGAACTTCCATACGCTTTATTTTTACAGGTGGAAAATATATTGTACAATACACTGGCATTAGCATTTTTCCTGCATAGCCTTCTGTTCCCATGTTGAAATACAACAGTGATAAGTTTTTCTCATACTGTCGTTCTGTTTCTAAAGTTGAGGTTTCTTATAAGGGTGATTCTCCCTTTGGTGGGAGGAAGCAGTAAATAGATTATTTCTCTGTTGTCTCCATTTGATTTGCATGTTTAAATGGTTCAAAATGAAAATAGCCTAAACATTCATTGCAGGAATTTTTTCAATACGTATTCAGTGCAAATCCTTAATCATGCATTAAAGTCTGCCATTTAGGTCTAATCTGATTGTATATTATTTTAATTTTTATTGCAAAACCCATTAAACTCTGAAAGCTGACCAACTTTACACCAGTAGTAAAATATGTTTGTGGCTTAAAAGGGGAGATAAAGCTGAACAAATAATATCATGCAATGTTGTCCCTATTGGGCTCAGTTTTAACTTCTCATGTTCCCTATGGCTACAAGCAGTGTCATATGGTCTTAACAGTCCGTGGGTTTGGGAAGCTCGTCCTCTTGATTAAATTACTGTTCTTCAGGAACAAATGAATTAAATTCCTGTTTTTACCATTGTCTTCCTGCACAGTCATAAGAAAATCCTCTAATATTGCTGAACCTGAGTTCATATCCTTAAAATTAGGATATAAGTATTTTTGGCAGTTCGCGTATAAATCCTAACCAAAAGCAAGTTATATTCGGTGTTATATGACAGAACCGGGTTGCACAGCCCATCTGTTCACAGCTTATCTAGATCCATCTTGATTGCAATGTGAAGAAACTCTGGGAAACATTGTAAACACTGATTTTCAGCAAGTGGTGATGTGGCTAATTGAAATTGTTCTATTTTAACTTTTTATGCAGGTTCATGGAATTGCAATCCAAAGTGAAAAGTTCATTGGTTAAAATTCTGAAAATAAGAGCAAATCTGAGAAGCCTACAGGTCTGGTTTACGCTGATTTATTTTTTTTAATCTACTTTTATATAAGATTTGAAATAAAAATGAAAAACTTACCTGCAATGTTTGAGTTTTAAGAGATAAGGAAGCAAATAAAATACTTGAAACCAGGCAGGTTTGACTTGGAAATCCAGAAAATGCAAATAAACCCCAGAATTTAGTAGACTTTTTTTTTTTTTAACTGGAGCAGTTGCTTTTCCAAGTACACCATTTTTAATTTGTATCACTCCTGATTTTGTACATGAATAAAAGCATATGAAGTAGTTATCAACTGTTATTTATACCTTGAAGTATGAATTATTACGGCATAGATTTTTATGTCCTTGAAGATTAAATATCCTTTTGTGTTGAAGTGATTGTTCTATTTAATTTACCACTAATGTATCATCATTTAATAGTCTGTTTAATACATGCTAAAATGCAAATCACTTTTCTGTTTTATTCACATTTTGTTTCCTGAATAAATTTAGCACAAGGTTTGTTGCTGTATATCAATATCTGAGAAATAATTCAGTGTACTCAAATTATTTTACTTGCATATTTGATCTAACAATGCTTTATTTACAAAAAAGACTGATACTAATTTAAAATATTTTAATTTAAATATTTATTTAGAAAACCCTATTGAAAAATCCTTTCTATTTCTCCTGAGATTGATAGCATATGATTTTAGGTCTACCATGAAATGCTGAGGGGTCTGTTTAATAGAACCTTAAATGCTTGTAGATTTCCATTTTACTAACATATTACAGCAAACTTGCACATGTGCCAAGATTGCTTTTCTGGGGATCAAGTGTTAATCTGTTTAAACAGCTGAAGATTTACGAATGAAGCGTAAATAACAGGAGATTTTTAAGTAACACTTTAAAAGGCACCTGAATGCCATTTTCAGAAGTAGCGTATGTTCTTACACCCTTAAACTTTATAGTGCCTTTGACCTTCTGTGAGGTGGAGGCTCATGCATCGTTTAGACCTTATGAAAAAATTCCAAAAGTTCTTTCTTTCAGATGTTTTTAATAAGTTGTAGACGTCTAAGTAGAGAGTTTGGGAATGAGATTTAACAATGTCTCTAATTATGCTTTTTTTCCAGGCTTTAGAGGGCAGTAGAGAGCTTGAAAATATTATTGGTGTCTCAGACACGTCTTGCGTCTTGAGTGCTGAAGTGCAGAAGACCGAACTGCTAAGTATGGAGGATTTTCAATAATATTTATCTATCTCCTTTATAACAATTTAACAATTATCAATCCAAAGGTTTCCTAGTCATACCTCATTCTGTTATAACAGAATGTTATACCCCAGGACTCTGACGCATGAGTTCTTTTGGTCAGGACAAATGCACCTTGAATGTCCTTGTGCATCCAACCAGGGACAGAAAAGAAAGGCAGCCCCAACGGCCCACTCTTCTAACTCACAGTCACAGATGGGGAGGAAAAACTTGCAAGAGCAACACCTTTTCTTATGTAAATAGTTAGATACTTAGTGGGTAGTTAGCTAGTGATTAGGCTAAATGTTTGCACTTTGATTGCATTGCCTTTCTTCTCTTTTTGCAAGGAAGTTGTTTTGTTTGTTTGCCTGTTAGGAGGATTAGGCTGAATATAGGTTTCCAGGCTTTTAAAATTGCTATTCATGTGTCTTTAAATGATGGACATACCAGATGCTTATTGTGTTGGGATAAGGGCACTTTACAGATGGCACATCTGTAATACTTTTCCAAAGGAACCCAGAAAGCCAAAGATTTTCATTTATGTGTGTCTACTTTTAGGAAACTCTTTATCCTTACTCCAAGTCAGAGGTTCTTGGGACATGTGAATCCTCAGCAGCAAAATGTGCATTCATACTTCTCTTCCCAACTGCCTCTGTAACTAGGAGGGGAGTATGTGATGGGGAAATATCCAAATGCAAAAAACTTGCAGAAAAAAAACCCCCAACAAAAAAAATATTGGCTTTCAGGGAGAAGAAATAAAGATCTCCCTTACCAGGTCATTTCTTTAAGAGTTAAAAGAGGTGAAAGGTAGCTGTAGGCACCCAAAGGGCCCCAATCTTTATGCCTCAGAACAGTTCATTCACTCATTTTCACAAAATCTGTACCCACATGACACGTTTGTGGTACAGATGTGTGTCTAAGACTGCATTTGCCTACTACTACTTCTCCTCAAAGGTTTGCACATATAACATTGCTCTTGTAGACTTTCCATACCAACTTCTGCTAATCTGGTTTCCAGCTGACCAGGGAATATGAATAACATATCCATACACATAGTCCCTCTGTCCAGTCTCTGGACAAGCATGCAAAGATGATAAAACAGTTTCTTACGCTGCAGCAAATGTGATGTTTTGCCAGTATACATTATTCTACAACCTGTCTGGTTGCTCTCTTTTTGGCAGAGTGTAAAAACACTGGAACTAGCTGTAAGAAAACAAAACCTAGGGTGTCTGGGACTGCTACTTTATTTGCAGTTGGAAACAGGTGGACAATAAAGCCACAGGTGCTAGAGAATTTTTCTTACCAAAGACCGCTGAGACTCTTCTAATGCATTAGGTGCATGCACCCCGGCAGTGGAATTTATGCACCATGCAATTCCAGCAACTACTGTTGTTTAAATTACCGTTTCTTTCCTGACTTGTATTCCAGTGCTCATTCAGCTTTCATTTTGCATGTGTATACACTGTACTAGTTCCCACTGTAATGCATATAACCAGATGCTTTCTTATACAGAATGAAGGTTCCTGAAAATAGTCTGTGTTTACATTACTACCCTACACTGTGGATAGGGCAGTAAGACTGCCCAAATGAGATGTCAGGGCTATGGTTGACGCTTTATGTTACGTCCACTCTTTCTGTTATCTTCTTGTTGTCTTCAAAATGGGAATCATCTTTTGCCCACATCTCTGAATTAGGAACAAAGCACCATGTCGGCACTAGAAGACAAAAATGGGAGCAAAATGTGGTATGAGGTTTATAAGCACAACTTCTCAAAATTATGTTAATTTTGAAAATTTTTTGTTAATTTTTCGAGCACAATTACATAGGTAAATGGGGTTTTGTCATCACTTGAAGAAAAATCCAAATGCTTTGAAAGTGAAAAAGGCAACATAGGTTTTATTTTCTTTGAAATCTCTGAGGCAATATTTATTGATTTCAGACTTATTTTTTCACTAGTGAGTCAAGCAGAAGAACTGCAGCTGTTGAAAAGAAAACTTCCTGCCCAAGGTAAGAAACTTTTTATCACTGCTGTGTAACAGCTGTTTTGATGATTCGTTTTAGTTGATTCCTTCTTAGTTCTTTTCACTTGAAATGAGTAACCGTTGGTATGTGAAAATGATGATAATCAAATTGATTTCTTCTGAAAACTTTTCACTACTTAGCAGAAAAGATGAAATTTACATTTATTTTCATTGTATTGGGTATTTCTCTGTGAAACTGTGCAAGGAGAAGAAATCATTAATGATCTTGCTCTTCGAGACGTGGTCTAGAAATAAGTGCAGTCAGGTCCTAGAGATTTTACATACGTTTTTTGTATACCAGTTATCCTTGTTCTTTCTCATTCTCTTCCCTCCCCCCTGCATTTTCAGTGTATAAGCCAAGTAGCATACAGTCTTTGCAGCAAAACCTTTTTCACCTTAGCACACTCCAGGGGACTCTGAAATCCTAACTATTAGGTTTCTTCATAACTAGTGCTGTGAAAATATTTGAAGTTGGTGGCATTTAATGTAGTGTGGCCCACATAGCCACTTTAGTGCCTTGTCTAGCTGGGAAGGTGGCAGGAGGATACACAAAAGATTTATTTTTTTTCTCTCACACCCAGTAAAATCAACAAACATTCACCACTGATATTCTGATGTTTCTATTATCTTCACACATTCTGTCTTAAAATAGAGCAAAACCAGACTCAAAATTGGTGATGGCATCTCTATTGCTCTGTCGGCCAGCTGTCCCAACCAGCAAAACTGCTTCATATCACAAGTAGCCCCTTTGATTTCGGTTGTATCTGCTCTTCCGCAGGCCTAAATTCTTTCTGCTGTGGGGAATTCTCTTAAAGGAAAGAAAATTGATCAAACTTCAGTTTCCTCAGCTCCAGCAGATTATCACAAAATGAAAAGGAGTGACATCACTTTTTAAGAAATTTGGCTCATTTGTGCAATCTGCTGTTTCTGATTTACAGCTCCCTATGTCCTTCTGTTCAAATGATCACAGCCCCTATCTGGCACTGATAACAGTGAATGCCACGGGCCATTGCAGATTTAAACAGTCATTGCTTCCCTTGTGTACTGCTTTTTAATGGTCACAAGGATATACATTTATAGTTCCATCTTTGCTCTAGAAACTAGCCCATAATGCTAAGCACATATCCAGTCTTGCTAGATGAGAATTGAGATATTTTGTGAAAGTAGGATGGAAAATAGAATTATGAGTTTAAGTTCACCAATTTTGATGATGTTTCAACATCAGTTTTGCTTTAATAAAGAAGAAATTGAATGTTGCAGTCTTGAAAACACAGTAGGAGGAGAGGCAAAGAAGTATGTGATAAAAGAAAACCATTTGGAGATGTTTTACTTTGCCTTTTAGTTTTGGATGTGGTTTTTCATAATTATTTTTAATTAGTTATGCTCAGGACTTAAAACTTATGACTGTTCTGTGGCTTGATACAGACGGAATGTCACGTTATCATCACATGGTGAGGCATGAAATTTATTTACTTTACATAAACAACCTCTACTTAAAACAACTTAATACAAAACATTCCTTGCTCAATGGGCAGCATTATGTAGAACTTAGTATATCATTTTGTGTGACCAGCATAAAAAATGGCATCATTGTTTGTCCGTGACTAGCATTTACAGTAAACAAAATGTTTTTGAATAGAATGTAAGCAAACAGTAATGCAACTGCCAAGAGATGAAATCTAGTCGGTATGTTGCAATCCAAAACATGCTTTGTGTGTGTCGAGAATAAATGTGTAGGTTGCGATATGCATATTTTAAAGGAATATTTAATAGGTTCAGAGTTCGTGAAGATAACATTCTAAACAGGAAAGCTACTTAAGCTGGCTATTACAAATTATACTAATACTTTGCTTCCCAAAAAGAAAAACACTGACATAAATCATGTCCATGACTCCGTCTGCTGTCCAAGTAAGAAACGAGAGTGTGTTATAGAAGATCAAATACTTGCAGTGTTAAGGAAAACTATTTTCAGACTATATTTTGTAATGAAATAAAAAAATACTTTCTTTTCTGTGTTGTTGTTCATCCTGCCAAGCCCATGGACAAATATGATCACCCCTATTAAGTTTAGTTCTAAACATTCCTAACTTTCATATTGTTTTTAATACAAGTGACTGAAGTTTGCACTCTTTGCAACAGTAGTGGTAGCTTTCCACAAGACTAGATCAGGGTTAATTTCATTTAGCGCCACTTGAAATTACTAATGAAAGCGAAGCTGGAGAGATTAGGGACCAAGTAATACTGAGTTCCCACTCACCAATTCACTTTTTTGAAGACGGTGTATATATGGTGAAACATAAAATCCCATTTCAGAAACACTGCAAAATATAGATGCCTCCTTAATAAGCAGAGTTCCTTCTCAAAACAGATAAAATGCGAAGAATACAATATTCTGCAGTTTATCCCAACTCATGTCAGTTTGAGTTTGGACTTTATATTGGGTGGTTGTGTACAGGCAACTAAATAGCTTGGGTCTGGACTGCTGCTGTTGAGTGAAGGGAAATCAAGTTTACAATATATTTCTACATCATTCTCAAAGTAGAATAAATTTGTTGACCTTTAGGCATATTTGGGTGTCTGTGTCCCACCTACCCTTCCTCCTCCTTTGGGATCTTCTGGGGAAAAGGGGAATACATTAGACTTCAGGTGTATATTTTCAGGAACATATCTGTGGATTTTTCTGACTGTAAAAAAACCTAACCTAAAAAAACATTTATTTTTTTTCTCAGCCCAGCTTTGTATTCACTTGCAGGGAAGAAATGTCATTATACCTTTTCTAGGCAAAGCAAGTCTCATGAACTGGCTAAGCAGAATTTTATTAAGTGAACTGAATGAATTCACAAGTAAATTTATTCAGAAACTGAGTTTCTTTCCAGAGTTTCCATTCCTTGAGAGCAAATGGAACAAATATCATGATTGTCTTTGCTTACAACAAATACTCACTGATCAGGGAAGTGATGCGGTAGATGCAGGGGTTGGACCCAGGCTGTGGTTTGAGCAAGCCCTACTTCTAGGCATTTGTGATAGAGGCTTTTCTGAGGTTCAGTTCTTCCATGTTTTTAATCTGTTTGAAAAAAGCTGCTAATGCTGACACAAACAGCAGTTCCTTAGTTCTACCAAGGTCCTTTCAGTTAAATCCTAGGCTTCTTTCCAGCAAAAGTTTTACAAGATCTCTCCAGCAGCCTTTTTGTGGTGTACATCATCTCTGAAAGCAACAAAGATGATGCCAAAGGACTTCTTCTCAAATAGATTATTATTAGATGGAGGCTTAGAGCTTGTGTTTGCAAACAATATGCTTACTTCAGTTCTTAACACTAACAGCCAGGTTTGGTGTTTTGCCACACACCAGAAATGTCTGCTCTGAGTTAATGTCCCTACATATCGTTTGGAAGAGAGGTGATGGTCATCGGTATTCTTTCACTTAAGTCCTGTGTCCAACCAGGATATGAGTTGCCCTCTTGACCTATTCAGAAAGGCTGTGAAATCAAGACAGAAGTTGAATCGAGAATTAATATTTTCTGAAGGGCTGAAAATACGCTCTAAAGCCTGTATGCCCAAGGCTGCTTAGGCCAGAGCTGATGCTTACACAGACTAGATCTGTAATGCAGCTGCAGTATGGAGTACATACCTGCCTCTACCACAGGACAGAGAACCCTTGGGCCAAGAATCTTCTCGTGGCCAGAGGTGGCACAAAGGGGCTGCAGCCTGGCAGCACTTTGCAGGATTTCCTCTAGAAGAGCAGTCGCCGTGACTGGCACGACTTAGGCCCTTAAGGTGCAGGTGAATGGTAGAGATTAAAGAGAGAGATCGGGCAGAGGCACTGCCCACATTCCCAACTAGTAGATGATTCCTTGGAGCTGAAACCAGCCGATGGAAATGAGTGTGCCCTGTGAGTGTTACGTTCTATGTCATTTGTGAGACAATTTCAAGAAGGCAAGTGACTTGTTTATGTGACGCTGGAGGGAATCTGGCCTTGTCCATCTGCTCTTCCGTGTGGAAGATCTGTCTGTATTTCTGCTCGTAAGGCTTTTCTACTGTTAGACATGAGGAAAAGTGAATCTCAGTTGTTTTTAAGTTATGCCTCAGTGTGAACACTTGTAAATGGGACTGCATTAAGCAAAACTGCATCAAGACTACTTCAGAGCTGAATGTGCGAGTGTGTGTGTGCACACACAGACTTACTGCAACTCACCGGTTTTGTTTACTCATAAGTTATTTTGAACGTCCCCATGCAGAGACCTAGAGAAATTGTTCTGCCCTCCTGCATTTACAATCAAAACTCATTGTGAGATTGCCCCAAAGTGCACCTAGAGGAGGAGTGTGTTGTGTGGATTAAAAGCTGCTGTTGCTCAGGCTAAATTTGACTGTACGTCTTCTCTCATTCTGTGCAAGCAGGTCTATTTTTAGTCTGTAACCATGCAAAGTCGTTTACAGTCTAGAAGAGGTAACAAAAACTGCTTAGCCTGGTACCCAAAAACTGCAATGCTAGTGATTTTCCTAGGACAAGTGAGTAATCTTGTCTACTGGAAGAATGCTACTGAAAGGCAAAGGAACTGGGGGACAGGTTTCTGTTTGACCCCCAAACGCTGCGCTCTTTCCCAGCAGGTTCTGGGTCTGTTGGATTGCACCTGCACCTTAAGAGTGCATATTTCAAAATACAACCTGAGATTTGAGAAGTGTCTGGGTCTGAGGTCACCGGCATGATAAGCTTTTTGGATGGAAGGAAGGGGGCAAATTACAAACCTCTCCAATGATTTAACATTCTCTGCTATGTAGATGAAATATTAAGCTATTAACTTTTGTGGCAGATACAGAAATGCACATGAGACATATGACTATAGGCCTCAGACATTTATACATATAGAACTGTCAACCTGCATTTTATATTTAGGTGTCAGCCACATTTATTCATGAATGTCACACTTGTGTTTACACTCTATTTTCCTATGTACCTTTTTACAGATGCAATAGCTATTAATTTTTAATTCCAGTGGATCTAGACTTTGGAGTATTAAGCTTAATGAAAAATTAAAAAGAATTGCAGTTCTTTCAACAGCTACATGTAGCAACTCCTACATGAGAATAAATGCTGCTTTCTCCCATGAATATAATTATTTTAAATAAAAAAGAAAAGAAACATTAGTTTGGACTCACTTAGTAGCAATTATATGTTTAAGAGGTGTAAATAACTTGCTATCCAGACATTACAAATATCCAGGTGCTCTGTATGTGCTGATGACAACAAAATTGAAAAGAAAGACTGTAATAATTCTGACTGGTTTTCTCTGCAGAAGATATTGATTATTTGTGTGTGGTGAGAGATTTGGAAAATTCAATTAAAGGAGTTGTGCAAAGGTTTCATAAATTTTCCTTGTACAGCGTGTACACAGACATTGTTGCGTATTAAATCAATGCAGCACTTCACAATATATTTTCTTTGAAACATAAAAATAAATAACATTTAAACAGTTCTGCTTACTACAGAAACAAATTTTATTTTCTGTGAAGCATTTAGTCATGTGCTATCACTGACTCATACACATTTGCCAGCTGTAACAAATTTTATAGACGTTTTCTCCAGAGACATAGCTCATATACTATGAATTTTTAAATGAGCAAATGGTGAAGAAGGGATGTCAGCAATATAAAAATTGATCAGTTAAAAGATAAAAGCATAAGTAAAGAGATTTGTATGGTAGTCTTAATAGGTTTTATTAAATAAAAATACTATAAAAAGACAGTAATGAATAGACTGAAGGTTTTAACTGTGGTTGAGGTGGAGAAAAATTATTCTGGCACATTTAGTAGAAGATTGGTTTTATATCACCTGACAGGTGAACATTTTTTTTCTCTCTGCTTTTTAGATCTGTAAATGTTTTAGAGTAGTCAAACTTGGGAAAGAATGGCAGTGAAAGTAGGAGGGGAAAAGAAACTTGGGAAGATTCTGCCCTTTTAATGCTTTTGTGGGCTGGGGACAGGAGACACCATGGCAAAGGGCAGCAAAGCTTCTACCAACCCACCCGCGCAGGGGTGAGGTTTCTGGTGACTCTCCAGCTGCTGCCTTACCCTACGCAACCCTAAAAAACATTGAGCTGATGAGAAGAGAGCAAGGGCAGCCTGGTCCTGCACCAGCTAGTGCTTGTGCCGCAGTTGGCTGCAGCCCAGACGTCTTTCTGGTCACCTCCACAGATCCCTTCCTTTCCTAGCTGCTCTGGTCACAACAGATTTTCATACAGAGGTTTTGCTAATGTTCTCTTTGCTTTTATGTAGTTTAACTTACTTAGGGGTTCTGCATATAAAAATATTGAGAGAAAGAAGGGTTGTTAGTGCTTTGTTGGGTTTTTTAAGAGCAACGCATGAACTTCATTAGCTCACAAACCAAAAAAAAAAACGATAAAAAAAACAAACCAAAAAGCTTAAAGTGCTACAACAAGCATTGTAAGGTTGTGGAGCATATGAGTAGCAAATCATATTGATTATTTGAATATCTAAATCTTAATGCCATCTGTATAAATATCACTATAAATAGGGCTGTTTTGTCAAAATATGCAGTCATGGTATATATTTGGAAAGAAAGCTGAGTTAATGATGTTTTATATTAATCTGGGCAGCTTACATTTTTAAGACAGCTTCTCAAGAGTGAAATACAGATCTTGGCATGGTCGCTTTGGCATGTATGGGTTCTTTAAGTACTGCATGGTCAGAATGCCACAATCAGTGATTAAAGAGTTCATAAAGACTGAATTAGAAAGTTTCATTTTGTACAAAGAAACTAACTTGGAGTTAAATCTCTGTCTCTTTCTGTTACTTGTCATACAAGACTGGACAGTTTCCTATTTTAAGCAATAGTTAGTGGTATTTTTTTGACGATAATTTGTGTAAACAAATGGTGTTAATTAGGTATAAGGCTGAAAAAGTTGTACCTGAGGCAAAGTTGAATTGGATGCCTTTTTTATGGAGTAACCTTACGAGACCTAGCTTAAGGCAGAATTTCTGGTGTGGTCTGGGTCAGCTCCAGGTAACATCCCTGGCACCTCACGTCAGATCCACAGGCAGGTTTTCTGCGTCACATCATGTAGAGGAAGCGTGTGACACCTAAGGAATGACAGCATGCCAAATGAGGAGAGCCAAGGAGAATCTTCCCCACCACCACCCGTGTCTCTGGTGGCTTTGATGCTTCTCTCCATCTAGGTCTATATGCAGCCCCTTTCCTCACAGTAAGAGTCTTTTTAGCTATAAGCCGCTGTACATATCTGTTTGTTGTTCTCAGTATGTTTAATACAAAACGAATAATTCTGAATTCTCTCTTCACCCCTTTGTGGTGGTGGAATCAAAATGCAGTAAGAACCATCAGCAGACACTGAGGGTACTGAGACCAGAGCTGATCATCTGCTGCAGGAAGCCATTTGGCAATCCTGGCACTCAGATGCACCTGCTTCCAGACCCTTTCCCTGTATGTTCTCATTCCCTGAGTTCCTTTCTACCCCTGCACACTTTTCCTCTACTTCTTCCAGCCATCTGCTCAGCCCTTCACCCTCGCCCTGCCCTGGCTCAGGTGTGGTTGCTTCTCTTTTTGCCATTCCCTCAGAGGACTCAGGGGATGGTTGTTCCTCTCATGCAATCCTTGATTGGATTCTGCTGGATCTGCTGATATGGTCTTTATGGATTTTTATTTATTCTTTTATTATTAATAGCAAAAAATGAAGGACCAGCTTCTAATACTCATAACATATGCTGTTCTGCTTTGTCATCATTGGTAATGATGTAGTGTATGTGCACACACTCACCAGTAATTAAGACAGTCTCCTAAATTACTGTTAAGACACAGTAACTCTATGAAGGGGTTCTGTTAACCACTGCAGTAACTTGTTTAACTTGTATTTGTGCAGGGATTTTCAAAAATTCTGTAATAATACCATTGTTCTGTTTATCAAAGCTAATCTTCCTTCTCCACAGCGTACATTGAGCCTGCCAGTAGCTCCGCATTCCTGAAGTCGCTCTTTGACTGAGGTAAGCAGCCCCTGGGTCTGCTCTGGGCCTTCCCCAGCTGCCACGTCCAGGTAGTATAATCGTAGGGACTGAGGTACTTCATTTTAAAACGTTTGCAGAGTGATCTAGTGTGGATGCCTGCAGTCAAGACTGTAATGGCTTGATGAGAAAACAGTTGTTACTCTGCGTGTGGTATTTCTGGTTAGTGGTTTGTTAAGCAAAATGACATGTTCAATCTGTAGAAACTGTCCCACTCTAAAACACCCGATAGCATTTCTCCTCGTCAACGCTGTCAGTTTCTAACTTAACTGGATGGTTTTTCAAGAACGGTAATTCAGCTGTAATACATGTAGCGAAAGCAAGAAAATCTGTGTACTTCAGGTTACACCTTCTTAAACGCTATGACCGATGCCCTGGGATTCACAAGGAGGCTGCCTACTGCAGCCCTGGTGTGCTGTCGGTGGCAGGGGTACTTCACTGCCTGCGCTCAGGCTTTGCTTCCCTGCGAAGGGGCTGTGTGCGCCCTCCTTCACTGTGGTGTCCACGCACAGGTAGACTCCTCAGCTCACTCCCAGCAGCCAGAACCACTCAGCTAGCCGAGGGCCTCCAAGCAGCGCTCTTTTCCAAGAGGGGACAGTGGGCTGCAGGGCAGATGGTCCAGCTGAAGCAGCAGCAGCAGCCGCCCGCTTCCAACCACCCCCTTCCCCAGCAGCAGCTCGCCCCCCTGTTCCATCTCCGCACGGGCACCTCAGACAGGCTGGGCCTGCTGCTGATCAATCCACCGCATCAACTTTCTTAGCACTCCCAGAGCAGAAAGCATAAACTGATACACTAACAGACACCTCAAGATGTGTTTTATGTTTTGTTAAATCCTTCCTCCTTTGGCTATTGGTCTTTGTTGCAGTGTTGTAAGGAAAAGCCCAGTTAGCGATGGACCTTGTCTATCATTGTGTATTACCTGTGCATGAGAAAACTAGTTGCTCATATGTTTCACAAAGTCTCTAAAGATGACAATATCTGCAGATTATATCAATTCCCTGTATAATGTGAGAATGTCTCTCCTTTGGAAAATTAAAGTATTCTAATTCTTGTAATTGAGGAATACGGAAAAGTAGATCTACCGGTTTTACAAGGTGTATAACTGAGTTAGTGCAGGGGTGAGCTCAGACACATGCATTTCGCTTCTCAGTGAAGGTTCAATTTTATTTTCTAATCTCAAGTAGCAAAAAAAAGCTTTAAACCCCTGCTTGTCCAGAAGCTAATGTTACCCTGATACTTACTAGCTGCTTATGCCAGAGACTCTTTCTACTCCTTACTCCTTCCAAACCAGCTATGACACCAAAGGCAGAGTAATTGAGGGATGGAAACCAGTGCAGGAGAGCAGAGCTAGCATCCTGTTTAGCAGCTCTTTTTCTCCACTGAGCATAATTTGAGTCCTACAGAATGCAGAGAGTGCCCATTCTATGGTACAATAACCAGTACACTGGCTTATTAACTTGAAGTAAACTCATGCTGACAACTACAAGGCTTCAATGTGAAGTTAGCTCAGAGCGCAGTTGTATCTCTACTGTTAGTTTATGTCCATGGATAGTATTGTCTAGTCAGTGAATAGTGGGTTTGCACCTTATGTCCAAACAAAGATACATTTACTTTTTCTGGTTCTCTCTGTCCCTTCCCAAGTGTGACCAACACTGTAAAGCCCTTTGCTTTCTTATTGTTTAAAAAAAAAACAGTTGTGATTGATAACTAAATGATCTTTTAGCAATTATAGCTCAACTTTTTCTACAGATAAAACCTACAGCATTTCCTTCAAAGATCTTAAAATGTTACTGCAGTTCAAGGGAGACTGCCTGTTGCTCTGCATTGCCTTAGGATGTACATGTGTCTGTATTTTTTTTTTTATGCATTGAGTCTAGTAGTGGATGTAGGACAGACAGATAATTCTGAACAGATCACATGAATGATGATGCTGTTGTCTAATTGCTATTTATTTTAGTCATTCCTTATCTCCACACAGGCATTATGTGAAAAATGCATTCCACAGCAACCCAAAGTTCTACATCTGCTTGACTGTACTTAAAAGGAGAGAAGAAATGACTGTAAACCTATCTCCCCAGCAAATACCAGTTTGGGACTGCTCATTGCTCTAGGCAGGTGCACATCTAGATAAAATTTCTGGCATCTATTTAAACTTAACAATGTGCACAACCAGATAATCTCAATGTAAATAATACATCATGGTTGTTTTATGCAAGCGTGTGTACAAAATGCTGATTGAGGTTTGCTGCTGCATGGAAAATAAACTGTATTTTCTGTATGTTCTTACTGCAAATAGATAATTATGCTGCCTTGTTTTTTTAAAAACAAAAACCAAACCAAACCCCACCACTCCAACCCTCCCTCCAAGAACTGGGTGAGAAGAAACGATGTTAAAGAACTTTGGCTGCCAGGCCTCCAGTGGGAAATGGTTGCTTCCTGCCAGGGTGGGGCCGGGGGGGGCGGGGGGGTGAGCAGGCTCATGATTTAATCTAATCATCATTGCCCCAAAAGCTAGCAAAACATGGTTTAAATTAATGCATCTAGTTTTGCAGCAGCCTGCCTAAAAATTTACAACTTTTTCTAATGATGATTGGGGTCAAAAGATAGAGGAAGTTCTATTGTGCAAGGAATTATTCTGAGTGCTGAACATGTTTAAGTGGTTTACAAACAGCAATTTCCCTGTCTGTGGCTGCCACAGTTAGGGACATATTTGTCATCTACAAAGATGTTTCCTCTGAAGTCACCCAAGACACGCTATCTAAAGGTATCGGCTTCAAGCCCACCATGTTAAAAGTAGATGGCTCTAATAACATTTGCTTTTTAGGTCAACATTTCAGTTTCATTTTGCTATTTAATGATGTAGGGGGAGAATTGTTATAAAACAGTTTCTTCTCTTCTTCATTATCCTCAAAACCACCTCTCCAACCTCATGAATACCCTGCATCTCAAATCACTGCACAAGGTGCAGCCTCTCTCACATTGAAAGAGCGTAGTAGAATGATTTATAATTTTTTTTCAGAAAGTTCAACATAAATGCACACAATTGAATGTCCTTTCTACCACTGCAAAGTACTGCTACTCAAACAGATGAACTGATTTTTACAACTAAAATGCCGAGAACCAAAATGATAAATGTGTTCCAGTTTGTGGTTAAACATGTACGCACTCGAGCTTCGGGAGTTTTTAATTAATAAAAATGTTTTTACACTGTTCAGTCTGACTGGGAAAAAATGTTAGTAATTGGGTGAAGGGAATTGTGCCAGTGGCTCTGTTTACCTTCTACACCATTCTCGTTTAAGCTTTCTGTGCTGTTGGTTTTTGTTGTATGTACAAGATTCACCAGCTGATTGCTTTGTATGATAATGGCAGGTTAGCCTGAAGCAGCAATAGTTTATATAACCTGATTGTAACCACTGTAGCTGGAAATTAAATAATTATTGATCTGAAAAGAGTCTGTAAATGAACTGTATGCCAGTCTCAACCAAGCTGTTCTGTGTAGTCTCAGAAGAACAAAATAAAACTTTTACAGAAAATAACAGTGAAGGTGATGATTGACAACAAGTTACAGCAGTAACTTACACCATGGCAATTATTAAATACCATGAAATTTGCTACTGAATCATTTTTTAGGGAAATACAAAGTGATATACTAAGATTCTGCTGCAAATATTCCCCATACATGCCTTAGCTATTTAAGCAGTTACTGTTTCTTTGACCTCTTGCTGTACTAGGCTTCTGCCTTTCAGAAACAGCTGGGTCTGTTAAGAACCATTTCCAGTTCCACACAAGGTGGATCATATGACTCTCACTTTATCACCCCTGGAGGCCATCTCAAGGACAAAGAAAAGAGATACACTCAAAACTAATGTTTTTATATGGGGGGAAGGATCGCACCGGGATCCCATGATGAACACAAGAGACCAGGCTAACTAGAACCTGAAGTCATTCTGCTTCCTTCCATCTTAATTTGGCATTTCACACATTATTTCATTGGAAGTAGACGTTCTTCAAGCTGCCTGAACGTTTGGCAGTCTTTCACCCAGCTGTGGTTGGAGGGAATGCTGTGGTTTTTAGCTTTCGCAGCCTCTGGAAACAAAGATTCCTATTTAGGCGTCCTGATACACATCAATGCCACTCGCCCTACGCTTCTGAAAAGAAAGGCCATGCTGTGGGCAGAGCTCTTGCATGCCGCAATTAGAGTTACACCCTCAGAAAAATTCTAAATACTTGTGAAAATATTGAAGTTTTGTTGCTTTATAGTGAACTGTTACAGTGTAGGTAAATTGCTGAACTGTACTCACCCCAATAACATTACAATCACTACTTCAAGAGCACCTTTTTTATTTTGTCTCAGCTGCCGTAGGTATAATGTTGGCTGCAATTACTTTTTCCACAACAAATAAAGCTGGAAAAACTGAATACATACACTCAGCTTGTAGACACTTCATTTACAGTATTCATAACTGACACAGTTGGAAGTTCCCAGAACAGCTGATTCACACACTCACAACCGATGCTGCAGAGACAGCCCCAGAATGTGCTAATGTCAATGACAGGCTGGTATGTGACAGAGCACAGTGAGGTCAGGGGAGAAGCCTTTAAACAAGGATGGGTTTGCTTTTTGTTTAATATATATATAGTGTCAGAGCAGAATGAAGAAAAAGGATAGACTGACTCCTAATTAAACTATACTACCCTGAATTGGTTTATGATTTATTTTCTTACTACATGCTTTGTTACATATATAATTATTCAATCAATTTGTACTCTCTGAACTATTGGCATTGGAGGCTGTACTGTGCAGAGGGAGAAATTGCAGTTTAGTTCAGTTTACATCTGCAAATTACTAGGCAATAAGGGGTGGTTTTTACTGTGGGGTTTTTTTTTTGTTTGCTCTGGGTTTTTTTTTCCCTGAAGAGCTTTGTACCTGCTTTCAAACTACACTGCAATACCTCAGCTTTTATTTCAGCAGAACCAAGGTCTTTTGGCTTTTCAGTCCCATTAGAAACAGTTGTTGAGAGTCAGAAGACTACAACAGTGTTAAAACCAAATCATAGCTGCTGACCTACAGCCAAGGAAGAAACGTACTACAACCTGCTGCACATACGAGACCTTCCCCCTTCCAAACATCACTTCCATGCCTCTCCTCCTCTGCCCAGCACTAACCCGGGTGCATCTCTGGGGCTTATGGTATTCTTCAGCATTCTGAAAGTATTGGTTTTGTGGAAAATAACACATAATACAATAAAACGAAAAGCCTGTGGGTGAACTGAAGCTGCTACAGAACCGCTGTCCTGATGTGCTACAGAACTTGGGTCCATCTTGTGGCTGAGCACATGGGTCTCCAGGCAGTGACACTGCTGGAAGGCTGAGTTTTCTCCCCTACAATATTAGCTGAAGAACATTAGCTGCTTAGATGACAGCATCCGGGCAGCACCTCACGCCGATACACAGCCTCGGGCAACCGCCTGGATGAACTGCAGTGTGTTACATGAAGCGACAAAGGAGGACAGTCACTGACTACACAAGGGAGTTTATGTCCTAAAACAATTCAGCAAGACAAGAGCTACCAGTCAAGAGTTTCTACTTCACCTGCACTACTTCACTTGCTTATGCTTTTTATGCTGGGAAACATGTAAACTTCATGCTAACAAAACAGTTTGCTGTTTTGCTAATACAGCTGGGGTATTTTAGCATTAATTCAAAATTTGGTCCTTTATTATGTATTCTAATTTTACAAATGGTAACAAAAGTATTACACTTCTGAAGAAAACACACCAAATCACATTTCCAAGTGCTCTTCAAAACACTTCTGCTTTAAAACAGTCTTTGATTATTTTGTGTTTAAATATGCATAAAGTGTTTCCTGATTTTCATTAGGTTACAGGAATTGTATTACATCACAAACAGGTTTACCTGCAACACCAGACACCGTTCACTGAAAATGCTCTGTCCTTTCACAGTTTAGTCCTTGATCTTCACAGGTTGATTAACTGATTTTCTTCTGACTTCTACTATTCTTTGAGTCCCAGAGTATAACAACATTAAAATACACCAAAAATAATAAAAAGTGTAAGCAAGAAATAACAGACACAGATACAGGGAATAAATCGGGTAACCTCTGTGGAGGATGCACTGCAGCACTCATTAGAGACAGGATGCCCATCAGGGTTACGGAAAGAAGAAACTGTGAGATAAGGAAAGATGTATTAGCTAATGGTGATTTAACACCTCAGACGAGTAAGCTGTAACTTTTGTTACTTGGGTACGCTGTATTCTTCAATCTATACATAGATGACATTGCAGAAAAAGAAATTATAGCACACCTCTACACTGACATAGCGTGGCTTTCCCTGTTTGGGGCTTTATGCACAGTTATGGACATAAAACTGGTTTATGCAAGTACTTCCGTACCATGAAGAGCTGCAAGTAAGAATTATAGGAATTAAAATTGCTTACCAGACTCCTAACAATCTTGGGAAATGACTTAACCCAAGAAACATATCCCTTCAGGGAAAGGGAGAATGGCTTCAGCTGCAGGTCCTCTGCTGAAGTCTTCTCAAATATGGAAAAGGAAGCCACGCAGACTGACAGGAATGCCAGCATTGTCACAGTGTAGGCCAGCAGCAGGCCATCTTTCAGTAGAAGAGGCAACATACTGTTAAAACAGAATTACCCGCAGAAGTGAGTATTCATTCTGAGTTATATTTCAAAGAATGTAAAAAGAAGAGGAAAAAAGAATACATTTATACTTCCTAGAATTGGGGAAGAACACAGTTTTAAAATAACGTTAATAGTGTCCAACTCACCTGAAAGTTGATACAAGTAAAAACCACGTAGCCATAAAAGGGATTTCATTTATGATTAAGCAGACTGGGCTAGAATGAAAAGAGGAAAAACAGATGTGCAAACACTGAAGTGACAGCCCTTCATCCTCAACCTTTCATATGGATGCTGCACTCCCACTCCCCTGGGAGGTAGGGCAGAGCCCTACTCCCCACCAGCACAGGCTCAGAAAATCCAGGAACAGGCAGTGCCCAAAGCGCTGCATCCTCTGCTAGGGCACCCTGGTCCCCCCAGCGCCCCACTGAACCCCAACGTGCAAATACTCTGCCCTGCATGGGGGTCTGCAGCTGGAGAGTCGCTAAGCAGAACCCCTACAGCGCGTGCCACGGGCGCGCACCGCCAGCCAGCTCTGTGCAAGGCTGCTCGTTGACTTTGAGGACCAGCCGCACTGCAGCCTCTAGACAACTGCCTACAGAGACAACAGGAGTTCTCTGACCACCAGTTTAGCCTTCCTGTCAGGCATTAATGAGTAGCGTTAAGAGGGCTGCCTCTCCAAATCTTCCTTTATCAAACATTACTTTTAGGTACACATAGGACATCCACACAAAAGAGCAAAGCTGCTGACTGTCCCTGCTGCCCTCACCTCCTTTAGGGCAGCGGATGGGAAAAACATACCTTAGTGACAAAGGGAGAGAGGGCCCCTTTACCATCACCATTACTGAGGTATGGATCACCCAGTTCAACTTGCAACCGTGCTCCAGCCTTGCTGGGCAGCTAAGTACGTATCTCTGCCGTCTATGGCAGCACCGCCTTAACCAACCCCACAGCCAGTCTGTCCCCGGGCAAACAGCTCTGTTCTGTGCCATGCCGTACTCCAGGAAACGCAGTCTGGAGATGAGCGAAGCAGGAGAGACCAGCATGGCTGGTCTCTGTATACTTTCATTTACAAGTTATTCAGAAAAGCAAACGTGTAGAGTTTTTAACATCAGATACATTTGTAAGGGAGAAAGGAGCATGAATAACAAGATCAGGAAAAGAAGATCAAAATAAGTCCACGGAAAAATAATTTACTTACAGTGACACTAGAAGAATAGATTTTTCATGTACTTGAAAGGAGAACAGGAAAAATGACAACGCACAACTAACCTTAGAAAAGGAAATCAGAGATCTATTAGTATACGTGACTGCAATGCAAAGCACTGTTTTCGTTTCTCTGCCGCCATAGACTTTACATGAATGTATGAGCTAAATGATCTGATTTTTCTAATTAACTGCTACATTTACTCCAGTGCAATTTACAAGTACACAGAGCTGCTTCTGTAACCACCTATACATACTAAAAAATACATTGTTTGAAAATTTACCCAGAATTACTCAGAAAGCATTTGATGTGAAGAGCCCTCACTTGCTTAGCTTTACTGACAAGAGTATCTCCACCAAGTAAACACAATATTCACACACAGAAGCACTGGAAAAGTTCAGTCATGGTGACAACTACCCACCTTTTTGACATAAAATTTTGCTCATCATCATGAACAGCCAATACAGCAAAGTAAACAAACTGTCTTTTTTTCCTACCAAATAAAAACATGCTGTAAAACATAAACCAATTCTTAGGATAAATGTTAGTTTTAGGCAATGTTGCGATAAACTCTCAAACATTACTCACATATAATTAAAA